TAGCTGCCAAAGCTGTATTTACTAAATACTTAATGAAGGGGGTATAGAATGATGCAGTTAGTTTTTTTTTTTTTCTCACTTTACGTTTACTTCTCACATAGCCCTATACAAGTCTACTTCTGATACGCTGAAATAAAATGATTATGTTCAGCTTCCTTTCCAGGTTGTTAGTGAGCACTTTCATCCATATTAAGTTCTCTTGTTGGAAAAACTGTGAAGGGAATTTATCAAAACTGGAGCAGACAAAATCTGATGCAGCTGTGCATGGCAACCAATCCGCTTCTCTCTTTAATTTTCAAATCTTAACTGAACACACTAATGAGGGATGCTGATTGGTTGGTTGCCCTGGGCAACTGCTCCATATTTTGTCTGCTCCAGTTTTGATAAACTCCTCTCTGTGTTCCAAGAAGACACAGGTCCTTCCTTTTTCTTTAAAGGAAATCATGTGTGAACCATCGGTGCTTTGTGTTAACCAGGCAAAGTAGAAGATCGCTGGCCTTGGTGGGAATAAGAATTGGCGAGTTTTGCATCATCTGTTTATTTTCGTTGAGACATTATTAAGTTCTACTGCTGTGGACAAGGTCATATGATCATAGTGCTTTATATAATCCTTGCATTACAAAGTTTTGCTAAACCTAAAGGAGATTGTACAGAAATTGTAGAGCACAATCAGATTGTAGTGTGTATTGTGTTAAGAGGCTTTGACTAAAATTAAAGTTATATGCTGGCACCTTGTAGTTCCCGTTGTAAAGCAAATACTAACAAATTGTAGGTTGTTTATGACATATTTACTTTACACTTAAAGGAGAAATATTGGGAGAGTGAAAAACACTCATCTCCATAATTCAAGCTGCCCTGTGACAAAGAAGCTGTCACAGGTCGGCTATATTGATGGGGAAGTCAGTGAACACATACTGCCGATTTGCTGACTTCCCGACCCTTTCACTGAAGAGAGCGGTGACTATCAGTCACCACTCCCCGCAAGGATTTCCCCCCCTCTCCTTTCTGTTTCTTCAGTACTGACTGGAGGAATGGATGGGGGAGGGGGTGGGTACAGCTGGCTCTGTCTCTAGATAGGCAGAGCCAGCTGTCAATCAGCCAGCGGGGTGGATCTCGACAGTATTGTCGGGATCCATCCTGGCTTTGGAGCAGCCCTGCATTCTCAGCATATAGAATGCAATAGCCCGCTATATACTGAGTTTTGGGTCATCAGAGACACAGTATTTTTCCCTCCGTGACCCTGAAGTGAACTTTGGGCAAAAAAGGTTGCCTCATAGTTCTTCTTTCAGGGCCCATTCACACCACATCCAGATTACCACCAGACTGTTTCCGGACCCAAAATGCATCCCAATGTATCCCTATGCTATTTTGGCCTCTGTTCCCAGACACACAGTCCTTTCCAGACCATACCAGAAAAATACTGCTTGTCCTATTTTGTCTGGTCTGGAATGCATAAAAAGCACATGAACGCACTGGAACGTACCTGAAAGACCATTTTCAGCTAAATCAAATTGCGGCAAAAATGCAATGTACTATGTTCCCCATCTGGTCCGGAAAATGGTGTGAACCCAGCCTAAAGCAGGACCCTATGACATTGTTTGTTACATTTGCTTAGTGAGCAGTTTCTAATACAACACAGCATTGTTTCTCTTTATGGGCAGGTCAAGTTTTCAGATTGCAGGTTCACTTGAAACATTCTCAGTCTATCTGGCAAGTGTTACCTATAACAATGTGCTGCTGAGAAAGTTTGTGGTGTCCTTGTGGCAGAGAAAGCTTTCGGTCTCTAGCACTTGCAATGAAGGTGGAGCTTTATTCGCACGGTCAACATACTGTTTTCCAGCTGCCAGATCCCTCTTGGGCTCACAGTGTCCTTAGCATATCTGAGAAGCATTTAATTTTCCATAGCTCTGTAGTATGTACTGCCATGTATTCTCAGGGTACCTCTGTGTCATAAACAGCTTGCTCGCGTTACAATAGTGCTATAATCATCACCTTCTTCTGAAGTGCAAACAACTAACAAGCTGTTACAAAGGCTAATTTGAAACTTTCTCCAACATTATTGAGAGTGTTCACATGTAAGAGCTTGTTCTGTTTTATATTTGTGCAAATGCTTTCAGTGTGCAACTAAGTGCAAGTTGCTGTTCTCTTACCAATCTGTCACATTTTTGTGTCTGTCACATTTTATGCAAGTCCAAAACATTATTTTACAAGCTGTGATGTTTTTACCACTTTTACCAGCTTTTTTAAAAAGAGAAATGTAAATTGATGTGAGTGTGTGAGTGTGTGTATACACTATATTGCCAAAAGTATTGGGACACCTGCTTTTACACAAACGTGAACTTTAATGGCATCCCAGTCGTAGTCCGTAGGGTTCAATATTGAGTTGGCCCGCCCTTTGCTGCTATAACAGCTTCAACTCTTCTGGGAAGGCTGTCCACTTGGTTTAGGAGTGTGTCTATGGGAATGTTTGACCATTCTTCTAGAAGCCCATTTGTGAGGTCAGGTACTGATGTTGGGCGAGAAGGCCAGGCTCGCAGTCTCCGCTCTAATCATCCCAAAGGTGCTCTATCAGGTTGAGTTCTCTTCACTGGAACTAAGGGGCCAAGCCCCACCCCTGAAAAACAACCCCACACCATAATCCCCCCTCCACCAAACTTTACACTTGGTACGATGCAGTCAGACAAGTACCGTTCTCCTGGCAACTGCCAAACCCAGACACGCACATCGGATTGCCAGACAGAGAAGAGTGATTCGTCACTCCAGAGAACACGGCTTCACTGGTCTAGAGTCCAGTGGTGGCATGCTTCACACCACTGGATCCGACGCTTTGCATTGCACTTGGTGATGTAAGACTTGGATGCAGCTGCTCGGCTATGGAAACCCATTCCATGAAGCTCTCTACGCACTGTTGTTGTGCCAATCTGAAGGCCACACGAAGTTTGGAGGTCTGTAGCTATTGGCTCTGCAGACAGTTGGCAACTTCTGCGCACTGTGCACTTCAGCATGCGCTGACCCCCGCTCTATCATTTTACATAGCCAACCACTTAGTGGCTGAGTTGCTGTTGTTCCCAGTTGCTTCCACTTTGTTATAATACCACTAACAGTTGACCATGGAATATTTAATAGCGAGGAAATTTCACGGATGGACTTATTGCACACGTGGCAACCTATCACGGTACCACGCTTGAATTCACTGAGCTCCTGAGGGCGACCCATTCTTTCACAAATGTTTGTAGAAGCGTCTGCATGCCTAGGTGCTTGATTTTATACACCTGTGGCCATTGAGGTGACTGGAACACTTGAATCTATGATTTGGAGCGGTGCCCCTATACTTTTTTGGCAATATAGTGTGTGTGTGTGTGTGTGTGTATATATATATCGATATATATAGATATATATAGATATAGATTTATATCTATATCTATATATATATATATTATACACACACACACATACACACACTATTTTTTATATTGCGCAGAACAGTCTTAGGAGAGGGAATTAAGTCACTGGTTTGAATTTCAGGTTGAGCTGCTGAGCTCTGTAAACAAGGTTTTTTTTAATAGAAAAGCTAATGGACAAACTTCCTCAGTACGAGCTTGTCCGAGGTTTCAGTGGGAGACTAAAAAGAGGGATCTTATCTCACCAACTGGGAAAGGAGGGATGATGTCATTGTATCTTGGCAGACTTTACTTTCTAGCGATGGACATCTGATTTCTGAAGTTAGAGTTGCTTTTTACTAGCTTTCACAGCTTCTATCTAGGTATTGCTGCAAAGCTTTGAGAGGAGAGAGGGTGCGATAAGTAGCTTATAAAAGTCTCTATGCACAGGTACTGTTATATGGCATAGAAAAAGGAATGGCAAGGACCACTATAAAAGAACCTTGCAACAAGCCTGCCCTATGTACTAGGGGTATAAAACTTGCAATATGGCTTTTTTTTTTAAACTTATATTGCTATTGTGGCAGTGTAAGCCAATGCCACGGTGGAGGATGGCGACCTTGGTACCCAGGACTCTCAGCCAAAGGGGCTGAGAGGGTCCAGAAAGTAAAGCATGGTATAAGGAAGAACCTGGCTTTTCAGGTTATTCCAGGTTTTCCTATTTGCAGCTGGGATCTGGAGCTCTGGAGATTTCGTAGAGCTCTGGGTGGGATGAGATCTCCAGTCCTGGGGCCAGGTGTTGCCATTGACCAGCCTGGGCTAATCAGGTGGCTGAGAGCAGCCTTATCAGAAAGCCAGCCCAGTGCTCAGGAGAGTGTTGGAGTTGTGTGTGTGTGCAGGGAGCACACAGACAAACTCGGGTGCGTGCTGGACGCACACGGAACAGCCAGGGGTGGCTGGGAGAGGTCAGGAAGGTCGGTGACCCCAGGGACCTGTCGGACAGACTGCTAAGAGAGAATGTAGTGGCAGGTGGTGGCTGGGAAGGCATATTAATATTTTGTTAGAAAAAGTGCACTTATCCTTTGACTAGTAAGAAGCAACACTGCTGTTTTTACTTTCTAAACTGTTATGAGGAATTTACTATTAGAAGAATGTGGTATATGGGTACACATTTGATTGGTCGAGAACCAAAACTAGGTAATAATCACAGCAAGGCAGTATACTAAAGGACCAGCTTCCCAAACCTGGTATTTTAAACCAAACATTTTATTGTATGTGTTGACAAAAACATTCTACATTTGCTAAGTCTGAATTAAATTTAGACGTTTTATGTACAAACTTTTGTGTAATGGAGTGACCATAGTGTTTCTGAGAGCATTTACCTGTCCTTAATATGGGCATGTTTGTATACCCTTTACTCTGTGTTTATTAACATAAGTGTACAGCCAGAGAACAAATCCATCTTTGTTCTGACATAGAGAAGTACTTTCTTGTTGCGATGTGCTCCTCTTCAGTGTGCTTCTCTATTGCCCTCTGCTGTTTTAAACCTTAACATGTTTTGTAGAGCGAGGACATTTTTTTCTGCAATAGTAATCAACCAGCATTTTGTTTTGCTTTTAGAATAATGCAATCAAGACGTCCAAGTATAATGTACTTACGTTCCTGCCTATCAATTTGTTTGAACAATTCCAGCGAGTTGCCAATGCATATTTTCTTTTCCTGCTGATATTACAGGTGCGTATTGCAAATATTTTACCCTTTGGTTTCTTAGAGCAGAACTTTATTAAAATGTTTACATAAAGCAATGTTGTGCAGAGTGCAGAGTAATAGAAGGGCAAAAATACTTGCCTTTTCTGCAGAAAGAGCTGTTCAATGCTAAAGTCCTATACAGATAATATTACTTCTCTTGAAGTGGTTTTGTAGTAGATTTGACTATTAAAAAAAAAAAAGTTTCTAAACCTATTTTCATTTGCCTGAGTTCACCGTCATATGACCCTTTGCGACACCTCTTCCCACCACGTAGCTGTTTGGGTTTTTAAGGCCTGGTGAAAATTCCGCCAATTGACAGCCTAGTGTCCGCATCACAAGCTGGTGACATGCACAACTGAAGAAGCACCCTCCCACTCTATAGTCCAGATGAAAGTAGGCTCAGAATCTGGGGCATCATGTGACCATGAATTTAGGGGAGTATTTGGGGCATTTGGATAAGGGTCTTTTGGATTTGCTGCGTGGGGAGGGAGGGGTGTATTGTTTATGGAGGAGTTGAAGTCCCTTGGATTTCAACTTTAATATAGAAAGCTAAATATCTCTATATCCCTGTATCCCTGGGGACTTTACATGCATATTTATCATAAAGCACATTTTGTAGTGCTCTTATAGGTTTACAGGCCCATTAACCCTTTCGCTGCCACTGATGTAAGCTTACAGCGGAATACAACCGCTTGCATCAGGCCACATCTGTAAGCCTTACGTCGGTAGCTTTTACTGTTCCGCTATAAGCTTATTGTCGCTTTAGCTACCTTGAACTTATACCAGAACAGTTCTCCTGACAGTCCTCTGTAAAATAATAGCTGTCAGCAGTGGCTAAAAAGTTGCTGATGAGAGCTATGAACAAAAGTTCCAGGTGCCCCCGCCACCAGCTCCGCCGCTGCTGGCCGCCGCAATCTGCAGCCTCTCCTCTCCCCCTGGAGCCGCTCCAGTCTGGGATGTATTTCTATCCCCGCTGCTCTCCCTCACCTGTGTGGGCTGAGGCAGTGGGGACCTGAGGAGAAATGGCCGGCGGGGGGAGCGGAGGAGGGAGCCACTGATCAAGATGGCCGAGCGGTGAGGAGAGCAGAGCCGCTGGCGGTCACTTTCACTTTGGCTGGCGGCTCTGTGATCTGTGCGTGACCAAGCTGCTCAGGATGGCAGAGCAGGAGGATCGGTAAATCTGTGATATTTACTGATCCTCTGTGTGTACCACAAACACTGGAGTGATCGCTGATTACTCCAATGTTTGTAAACTACTGGGGACACATAGATGCATTACATCACTTCCTGTTCATTCATGAGTTTCTAACAGAGGCTTCTACCTAACTAGTTGATAGTAAATGGTTATTATCTCCAGTTTGTGAATTAATGGGAAGCCTCTGTTCTGAGTGCTTTCCATTTATTCAGTGCTGGGGCTGCAGAAAAAAAACGTGAGGACTCTGTGTCCTTAATTTCTTTTTCTATTTCAAAAAGGAAATGTCAGTGGTCTGTTTAGACCCCTGATATTTCTCTGAAGTCCCCCAACAGTAAAAAAAATAATAAAAAAAATACATTTATAAATTACAATAAAAACAGAACCAAATAGAGTTTTGTGTTATTTTTATTTTTTTACCGTTTTGCAAAAAGGTGCAATTTAAAAATTACAAATATTTAGTTATTAACTCAATACAGTTTTATCTTTTAGATTTAGTCGTAGTCGGATTTTTTCTTTTTTGTGCATTGATATTTAAGTGTGCTTTTATCAATTTATTTGTTTATTTTTATCGTTTTAATAATGATTTGATAAATATTTGTGCAATTATCGTAGGGCCTACAAAATTAGTAGCACTTTTTATTCTACCGGGTCTGTTTTTTCAGAAAATATATGGTTTGGGGGTCAAACATTAGCAACGCAGTAGTAGAAAATCAAAACAATGGGAAAAATGGCAAAAATGGTTGGCCAGCTCAGGTTAAAAACGTTCCGGAGGGCTTGGCATCAAAAGGATTAAAGAGTATTTATGGTCAAAAGCTAAAACAAAATTTTATTTCTATATTGAATTTATATAGGTTCTGTCCCACTCCAACTGACCATATTAATCTAGAAGCTTTTAAACTTACCTATTGAAGATGCCCAAAAGATGTACTTCCTTAATCCCCTGACACAATTTCACTCAGCCCTGTGAATATGCATTTCCTTGTGTCACCACTCTATCTAATCCTGCTGTCTGAACTACAACTCATCTGAACTTCCCAAAATGTAACATCATCATGACTTACATCTCCTTTAATATAAATACATGGTGACAGAGGAAATGTGGCAAGGGAGAACAGGGCTGGGGACAGGAGTAAATTTGCCCCCTGGGCCAGTACTAATACGATATCTTAGGCTGGTGCCCCTGAGTGAAGATCCTTCACCATTTAGGAATAATTTACAGTGGGACTCACAGTAGGCGACAAGCACTGCGTGTTATATAGCTACATGCTCCCCATCTTGCAGAGGAGAGTCTTCCAACACCAACTCCCTTTGCAGCTCTGAGGTGTTTTTACAATTAAGCAATTAAGCTGATATTGGAAGATTGGGCATGTTAAAAGGTGTATCACAATAAACATATTTTAGGAACATTTAATGCCCACTAATGGCATCATTTATATGATACTTTTTCTTTATCCCACAGAAATCTGTCTCCGCCATGAAAAGGCTAGTTGAATGTGATTGTGTGTGTGTCTTATAAGTGATACCATAAATGTCGTAATAGGGTTCAAGTCCTTACAATGACACCTGAAACATTTCAAGGAAATTACTTCATATATTAAAATACATGTAATATAAATCATAGAATGTAAAAGGGTTAGGGCGCCCTATGTAACCTTAGCGCAGGAGTGTTTAGGTCCACTGTATATGTGCATTGGGAATTTTCCCTCGCTGTGATGCCTTTACAAGATATGGTAGGATGCAGGAATGTTTAGCACTTATTGGTGGCCCTTTTACAAAAAAAAGGGGGATCACAGGTATACAGTATCTAAAACTAATTTGTGTGGTTAAGAAATGTGGACGCAGAGTAATAGGTATGCTGTATTAGACTTTAATATTTTAAATACGTGGTAAAAAGCAAGCATTTGTTAATTTAGCAGCCACATAAATGAAATACTTTAGCAATAATATTGCCAGCCATTTATAGTAAGTGTTATTATTATTATTATAGTTGTGTGTAGCATACATAATGATTTCATATTCTTCTTTATAGCTAATCCCTGAAATTTCTTCCTTGTCATGGTTTACCACCATTGTGCCTTTAGTTCTTGTATTGACCATCACTGCTGTAAAAGATGCCACTGATGATTATGTAAGTTTTTCGATAATGGCTTTTTGTTTCATTTTTTTTATGTAGATTATTTCTCAATCAACTTTGTCATATAATGACAGTCTTGTTGCATTATATAATGTGGTTATTTTTTTAATTATAAGAAAAACTATTTTAACAAAACATGTCAGATGTTTTAGGTACTACCGTGTTTCCGCCGAAAGTAAGACCTACCCCGAAAGTAAGACCTATCGCTATCTTCAGGGATTTCTGTAATATAAGACCCACCCCGAATATAAGACCTAGTTCGGCGGTAGATCTTATATTACAGAAATCCCTGAAGATAGCTCTAGGTCTTATTTTCGAGGTAGCTGCACATATAATTTAAATTTATATGTCAAGACCGGCCGCAGCTCCCTCCCGGCCACACACATACCTGTCTGCCTCGGCTGCCGCTGAAAACTAAATTTCCCAGCAGGCAGAACGCGGGTCGAAGTGAGGTCAGGGAACTTCTGACTGGTGGCTCCCTGGACGGCATCAGAGCGGAGAGCTCCAGACAGTTGCAGCCAGGTACAAATAAGACATCCCCTGAAAATAAGACCTACTGTCTTTTTTTCGGGAAAAAAAAAAATATAAGTCAGTGTCTTATTTTCGGGGAAACACTGTATGTGCACTTTAATTATAAAAAATATAAATTTTTATTTTAATTAAATATTTCTATACATTCCAATTAAAAATATAAACCTATCATTTCTATTAACACATATAGTTATCATAAAGAGTACCAATAGAGTTCTTACAATATCCCATTTACTCAGTGGGTTCTGTCCTCAAACATGTCACTGACCACCTTATTTATTTCAATGTACAATGCTTATTTAGTTAATTCCTTTTTCTTAGTTGCTGCTAGTGTGTCACGCATTTCACAGAGGTTTAGTAAAGGATGGACACTGGCACGCCAAAGCAAGTTGAGTACGTGTTTATTAATGTACTAGTTGCAAGTAGAACAACTTTTCGGGGTTTCACAGGATCCCCTTCATCAGGCAGACAACACGTACTGAACTTGCTTTGGAGTGCCGGTGTCCATCCTTTACTGATATTTTGTCAGAAGCCACACGCTGACACCAGCTGAATCCACCCTCCATTTTTGGAGCAGTGGCTCTGAGTGTGATGGGTACACGGACTGTATCACAGAGGTTTAGGCCTCCTATGTCATAGTCAAGATCTGGTGTGTGGTATTATGGCCTATTAAAAATATGGATCATTTTATATTGGTAGCTACTTATAAGAATTAAGTAAGCATTTTTCCAATTCACCCAAACACACATGCAATGCATGTGCACACACAGACACACATTCATATTTCTCAAAACTATAGTTGGTTTTACTTGGACTCCTCTTCAAGAGCTTGATAGCCTGGACTGCACCCCTGAAATGCATTTGGAAGATAAAAGAATCCAGTTAAAATTTACTACAGGGGAGTTAAGCTAAACACTTTGAATGTCCACTAAATATAAACAGTGGACATTTCCTTTTGTATTGACACCAATATTTGATTAAAGGAGAATTATGGGGTCAGGGCTTTTCCCCATAGTTCTCCTAAGGGTCACCCAAAGCTCAGTATACTGCAGACGGTATGTGTTCGCTCACTTCATGATCTATTGAGCCGACCTGTGACAGTTTCATTGTCACAGGTCGGCTAGAACTATAAGGCTGAGAGATTTTCACTCGCCTCATAGTTCTCCTTTAAGGGGAATTTTTACCAAAAAATGCATAGATGAATATTTTTGACTTCTTTCCACTGTGCTGAAGCCCACTGAAATCTGTAAAATTCAAGGGCTTGTGTCAAGAGCCAAAAGTGCCCGTAAAGCATACAACGAGTAAAATGATCAAATAAGAGTCTTATGTTTTACCTAGAATACCGCAGGCTGCCACTGGGTGGCAATGTAGACTTTAATGTAATCTGTAGTGATCTAAGTATAAGGGAATTTGGATATTGAGAAGGTTGGAAAGAACTAGTGCTAGTTGTCATTGTCATTTGGTTCTGACCACAAGAAAGTGTATTTCCACTTTTGCCATCAAATTGAAAAAGCCCCACTATATGTTATGTGTTCCCATTCACACAGCATACCGAAAATTCATTTTTAAAAATATATTTCCTACCGCTGTTTCTTTGGTGAAGGCCTTTGTGCAGATTCCAAGCTTCTCTGAGCAGTTTATACATGAAAGTACAGTGATAAACTGAGGTTCAGACTGAGTTTCAGCTTAACATAACATACAATGCTTTAAAGGCGTTAACCCTTTGTACTGTGATGGCAGATCTCATTATCCGTTGTAAACTAAATTTGAACACTGCCTGTCCTAACAGACAGGGATAATTAGAGTAAACTTAACTTGACACATCACCCTCCTGAACATTACATAGGGGGGAAGCTTGCTGGGATTTTTTAAACAAGCATAAACCATCTAAAACTGTAAGCAGCAATTTTTACATTTTAAAAAGTTCTGCTATGTAAATGCGAACAAAAACCAAACAAAATATGAGTTATCCCAGTTTACCTGCAAAACTGGAACTACACTTTAAGGTCTCAGACTGTAATATTTTTCTTAGCGCCATAGAGTTTAAAGTAGTTAAATATACTGTATATATAAAAGTAATGACAGAAACTCTAATATACAGTTGACATAATGCATGCAACATAATCGTTATGGTTTCCAATGGTGGAGCTTTCAGTACAGACATGTACTTCAGATCCTAAAATATGACAAAAAATGGTTTGTAAATAAATGGCAACCTAAGGTACTCACATTACAGTCTCATTATTTACTAGGAGCGGTTATAATAATAAAATGTAAACTGTATGCAAGTAACATTTTTTTTACACTCATTTTTCTTTAAATTTGCAGTTTCGTCATAAGACTGATAATCAAGTGAACAATAGGCAGTCTCAGGTTCTTCTCAGTGGCAGGTGAGAAAAACAACATTCATATTTTCAACAATTTGTGGAATACATTTTAAGCTGTAGCTGTATCATTGATATCTGTGCAAGTGATGGCATGGGACTGATATAAAAACATGCATGACTGAAGAAATTGACCTGTAAATGTTTTGGAAGAAGTCTCTCCTTGTATTTTTCTTCGCTCAGTCATTCAACTCGTGCAATGAATATTGCTTTTCATGCCATACTTCAGTGTGTAGTAGAAAAAAAGTTACTGACTGTGACAGTTCACTCCTCTTGATTCCCAAGCATGCTCTGCAAAGGGGACAGACTCTTGATTAACTGCTTTTATCTCACTGTCTCTGCACTTTCCTGCCTGAAGTTTAGCTTTAGAAAAAACCCGGGTCTAATTTTAAAGCAGTTACTTAAATTAACATATGCAAATAATACTTTTACCTCTCTACCCTCCACCTCTTCCACATCATGATGGATGACGATACAGTTTACATATAGTAAAACAGAGAAAGTTGCAGATACTTCATGGACAGGTGGGGCAATCTTTTTTTCCCCTGGTTTATAAATGGACAGTTGTAACAGACTGAGGAGAAGTGACCAAACATAGAAACAAAGAATCTAATGCATTAATTTAAAAAAATAAAGATTCAGATTAATGGGGGCATGGGAACAACAACAAACAAGAGAATAGGGTTAAGCAAGAACAGTAAGGAGTTGAGAAAAACTGAGTGTGTAACAAAATAAATAGTGACAATTCTATATGCGTGTTAGCAAATGCTAAAAAGAGAAAGCACCAGTGATTGCTCAGGATTAGGATATAGGAATAACATCAGCTTAGGGAACACTCAGGGCAACAATGACCACAATCTAGTAATTAGTAAGGTGGTATTCAGTAAAATGTTGTACAAGTTTCAAATTTGTTAAGGAAAACAAAGTTGAAACAGCTCAGTGAAATATGATTTTTATATGCTAGCAGGCAGTAGATATAGGCAAGAAGTTTAAAAAAAAACAAAAAACGCTTGAACTGGTTTTAAACTTACCTCGTTATCGCTGCGATCCCGCGCCAAGAATCAGGAAGTGATCGTAGGGCCGCAAAGGATCTTGGGGCGGGCACATGTGCAGTTCTGATTCTCGGCCGGGAGACGAGCAGAGACGCAAGGTAAGTCTATGGACGCGTGCACCCGCCTGCAGACACCGCTGAATCGGAGAGACAGAGCAGTCAGCGCTGGATCGGAGTGACGTCACACCGCTGGAGGGACACATGAAAACATGGGGAAAGAAGAGGAAGATCAGAATAAGAGACATCATTTGAGGTAAGTGCTAAGATTTACATGGGGAAAAATGTTTTGGCTTTAATGTCACTTTAAGACTTTCCAGTGCCATATAATATGTTAGAGCTAGATAACAAATGTTCTGAATCCAAAGTTACTTGGCTAACATGTGAAAATGTGCATTTACACTGAAGCAAAATCTAAAGGGTTATTCATAAAAGGGTGAAGGGTTTGGAGAAGGCAGGAGAAGTGAACAATCTAGCACAACATAGCCATAGCTGAACTGGAAAGTGAGCTGAAATAGAGACATTTTCCAGTTCAGCTATGTTGTTTGTTGCTAACTTCTCCTGCCTTCTCCAAACTCTTTACCCTTTAGTGAATAACCCTGCTAGAAAGGTAAAGCAGCTAGTCTAGTTGGCATTTATCCCTGTTTTCATCCACTATATTTTATTTTGTTAGGTAAATTTTATCTTTAATTGGACACAGCAGATGTTGTATAATTGTTTATGATGGGTACAAAGCTATGCGGTTTTACTATAGACCAGTAAGTCTGACTTCTGTTGTATGTTAATTAATTAACTAAGCTTCAGTTTGAGGGGGCTGGACAGTAGGAGAGGTTAAAACGGTGAATTAGGCTAAAGAGAAAGAATTTGAAAGAATTCACGTGCCTCCTTTAATGATGAAATTCCCATGTATATGAAAAAACTACCCAGGTAAATGCTGAGACAATGGCATCAGCTAAGGGAAAAAGTGGACCTGTGCTGACTTCAATCATCATCATGTGCAAGGATTTTTTGTTCTTGTGTAGGATTAGGTATACTTTGCAAAGTGAATATTCACTTTACCTAATTTACTAAGCAACACTTGTAAAGAATGATCATCTCTTCTCTGCATATGAGTTTGCATGGCTACTCAGTCCAACACAAAATGCATGGGCATGATTGTGTAGTAGCATTTTGTTACATCGTGGTTATACATCAACCAGTCATAACACTATGACCTCCTGCCTAGAATTGAGTAGGTCCCCCTATTTGCCTCCCATACAGTCCTGACCCGTCAAGGCATGGACTCCACTAGACTTCTGAAGGTATGTTGTGGTATCTGGCACCAAGCTGTCAGTAGCAGATCCTTTTAAGAGTTTAAGACACCCCTCCAAATCATTGGATTCAGGTGTTCCAATCACCTCCATGGCCACAGGTGTATAAAACCAAGCACCTAGGCATGCAGACTGCTTCTACAAACGTGTGAAAGAATGGGTCGCTGTCAGGAGCTCAGTGAATCCAAGCGTGGTACCGTGATAGGTTACCAACCTGCAGTAAGTCCATCCGTGAAATTTCCTTGCTACTAAATATTCCATGATCAACAGTTAGTGCTATTATAACAAAGTGGAAGCAACTGGGAACAGCAGCAACTCAGCCACGAAGTGGTAGGCCACGTAAAAAGGGCAAAGCGGGGTCATCCCATGCTGAAGTGCACACTTAGCCAAACTTCGTGTGACCTTCAGATTGGCACAACAACAGTGCGTACAGAGCTTCATGGAATGGGTTTCCATGGCCGAGCAGCTGCATCCAAGACTTACATCACCAAGAGCAAAGCATAGCGTCGGATGCAGGAGTGTACACACGCCGCCACTTGACTCCAGAGAAGTGGAGACGTGTTCTCTGGAGTGACGAATCACACTTCTCTGTCTGGCAATCCGATGGACGTGTCTGGGTTCGGCTGTTGCCAGGAGAACGGTACTTGCCTGACTGCATTGTGCCAAGTGTAAAGTTTGGTGGATGGGGATTATGATGTGGGGTTGTTTTTCAGGGGTCAGGCCAATAGAACACCTTTGGGATGAATTAGAGCGGAGACTGGGAGCCAGGCCTTCTCGTCCAACATTAGTACCTGACCTCACAAATGCGCTTCTGGAAGAAAGGAAAGGGCACATCATTCCCTGGTGATCTTGTGGTTGAATAGTAAGGTCTGATGCAGACCTTACTAATGCATTCTTTCTGTCGGATCTCAGCGCTGTCCGTAACCGTGTTCCTGATTTGTCAGCTGGCTGTGGGCCACATATTACCGGCTCGCGGGCCAGAGTTGGCCCGCGGTCCGGTACTTTGAGACCCCTGCCTTAGTACCTTAACATTCTCCCTAAACAAGATATTTTTTTCTAACTCACTTTTAGATGATCTCTTACAATTGTCTCTCCAAAAGACAGCAAACCCAGGAAATTTAAATGCCCATTCATGTAAAGAAAAAGGTAGTCATATGTGACTAACGTAAGTTGTAAGTCTAGGTAAGCCAGGACTCGACAAATCCCAGGCGCCAGGTTACCGATGCGACTAGAAATTGTGTCCTAGCGCCTGGGCTTTTGTCAGCCTGTTCACTGCCCGTTTCTTTTCCGCTTCTGTGAGTCTGCATTCCCTCATGCTGCCCCCACTTAGGATAAACTGTCGGCCTCGACAGGTCTCCAATCCAGCGGCCAACAGCAATAGCCAGCCTACTACTGGCTATTTTAAATTACACCCGCTCCCTGCCTGCTGTCAATCAGCAGAGGAGGACCCGAAGGAGAACTTTCTCCCTTAGTTCCTTCCTCTGCTGATCGCTGAGTGCTTGTAAGCCGCTCTCCATCCTAACACACTGCCACAGGAGGCTGAGCGGGCAATGCAAAAGGAGAACTTGGCCTCCTGTGCCACTGCTGACAACTGACTCCTCCCTCGCACCACCAGCTCGGCTTCCTTTGACAGCTGATAGCTGTCTCCTCTCTGCACCGCGCTCCATCCTGATTTGCTTGTCACAGGAGGCTAAGTGGGGTGGTCCTGGGGGAGAACTCGGCCTCCTGTGACACCGCTTACAGCGCTTTCCTCCCCGCCTCGCTTGGCCTCCTGAAAGTTTCTCTCCTTCCCGCTGGGCACTGCTCTGTGTCAGAGGGGTGACACGGAGCAGCGCCCATAGGGGATGAGACAAACTAGAAATGCACTGCATATTTGGCCAAAAAAATTATACATAACTAATTAACTAATTATACATTTTGCCCAAAGTACCATTTTGGGTTGAAATGTTTCTGCAGCTGAAATGTCAGCACATCTCTAGTTTTTGCAGTTATAGAACTATTGCAATGTTTGTGAAAATAACTTTGTGGGTGACTGCCTTTGATATTTTATTATGGATCTTTGAAGTGTTTTGACAATAGTTCTCCTAAGCTTAAAATCCTTGTGAGATTACTTGATGAATCATTCCCTTGGCATTGTTACCAAACTGCGCTTACACTCTATGCTCTGTTCTTCTGCAAGATGACATTTCCCTTCATTCAGCAAAGGATCCATGTGCACTCTCAATTATACTGTAAGAGACATTCACACTGAGTTTGTGTTCACCTGTGTGCCACCTTTGTGTGACTTTGAAATGCACACGAGGTTCATTTGTAAAACTCAAAATAGCCACTTGAAGTTGTTTTTTTATTTTATGGAAAGTACTGTGCTTTCTGAAGTCACTAATTGCCAAGTTGTGATTTTTATGTATGCCAGTAGATAACAGTATAAATCAGTATTGAGAAATACGTTTAATTGTATCAAGAAGCTGTTATCACTTCCAAGGGAAAATAACTTTGTTCCCATTTCGACTATGCTATGATTCCCGTTTTTATGTGGCTGGGAAAGTTATAATAAGATCTGTTGAGATTTTTATGATTTTTATTCCCATGACAAACTTCTCTGTAACAGTTTCAACAGTGGTTGGCATATACCTGGTCCGACTGTAGAT